TCTTCGTACTTGAAAATCATGATATTTAAAATAGAAACCTCTTTAATGATCTGTTCACGAAGCTTGAAATTCTGTTCTAGAATTACAAAATTTGGAGCTTAGTATCATATATATCTTTTAAAAGTTATGCAATGTGGTGGGTATTTTGCGGTAGAACTTATAAGGAATTTAACGGGACGTCAGGGAAGTAATGGTCTTACAATAAAAGTGAAGTGTACGAAGTTTTATCCTATAATTTGACATAGAAGATTGTTTCTGTGCCGAAAAAATATAAATCCAGAAAAACTTCTTTACAACTGTTATCAATTTAAGATATAAAATTGAGACGTTTAGAGCACAATGCTTCCTTCGTGTTCCGAGAATCAAGTTTTATCTCAAAAAATGAAAGTTCAGTTGATGAATCTCTCACACAATTTACGATGTCTCCAATGTTTGTTTACAATCTTATCCCTCTTTTGCTTGCTTATTAGTTTTCTTGTGAAAAATAAATAAACAAAAACGTAAAACTCACGCATTTATTCTAAAACAGTTAAGGAGTCTGATCACACACTGTGTAGAGGTGTTTATGGTATTCCACCGCAACGGTTGAAAACTTCATTATCTTTGTGTTCAAAAGCAGAGAAACAAGTAGCGTTGTGATAAAATTTAAATTCTCCATGCAGAAAAGAACAACAGTTCAGCCAGCATCGTCCATTCATTTTCACTCATCTATTTCAAGTCGTTACTACCAAACTTTCCTGATTGTATGTTTTTCATTCTATCAAAATGAGGTTTTATAGGAAGCGTTAAGCAAGCTGATTGTTCACTGTGCTCAAGTCGGTATTTCGCAAGTTACGCTGTATGACCCATGGTCTTACATCTCCTCAAAAAGTAGTGCTTTGCAGCAACTTACTCATGTTTTAACACAAAAAACATGTTCGAAAAGAATTGTTGAAATTGTATTTTCCGATTCACTTGATACTGCGACGCATATAAGTCCTTCCCATACACTCGTTAAAGTGATGGATTCGCAAGATGGTCGTCAATCCATTGTCAGAGCTTGTAAAAAAGTAATGCTCTCTATTTATTAATCGAAATTGCCGACTTCTGTGAATTGCAGATATTTAAATGCGTAGACAGTAGCACATAGACTTTGTTGGTTGCGACCAGATAGAAGTGAAATGAGAAGAACTAGTGAGATTGCTAAGCACGCATATTGTGATCTCGACATTACTTCTCAGGAGATTTGTTTCAAATTCATGTATTTGTAAAATATGAAAAAGCATTCAGCTAAAACGGACTACTGGTCTTATGCTGATCATTTACAGATATGCACGAAAAGTCTACCGGCAGACATTACGGTGGAACAAATATCCGAATACCTTGAGCAGGAACATATTTGTGAACCAGACTTCCTGTTACATATAGGTGACCTAGATACAATGGCAGGCTACTCCCCTTGGGTATTAAGAATTACGGAAATCCTCCGACTTGAGGACCTTTCTGGTAATTTCTCATACCAGCAATTTCTTTCTTATTTGCATAACTATTCCTCTAGAGATCGACGAATTGGAAGGTAAGCTTCATAACTCAGTGTTTATATCAAAACAGGTGAATTCTGTTCCATCCTCACGCTTTGCTCAGATTGTACTCATAAATGGACTGCACTTGTTGTTCTCGCACCAATTTAGAGCATTAACTTTCTCCTGGCACTGGAATCTTCAGTTTTGATATTTTTTCACTTGAAATCTGTAGGCTTTTTTTGGAAACTACAACGAAGCCTTTAGCGTTTTTTTTCTTGCGCTCGTCACGATCTATGTGATAGTTAACCAGGCATGAATTGTTTTCTTGTTGTTATTTAACAAACTGATGTCTTTTTTGCAAGAAAATGTTGTAAAAGCTAAATTTATACAAATTTTTATATTGTTTTTTCACATGTTTATGTTACATTGTTTATAAAATATACACAACTAATTGGATCATATACTAACAAGTGAATAGTTATTGAAGTAATTTGTTTGAATCTTTCTGTGGTGATGTGAAATGGATTTATACAAAAGTTAACCAGACATGTTTTAACAAAAAAAGAAGTTACTGATACTTTTAAAGTAGTGTCCTTCAAAAACTCAGTTTGAAAGTTTTTAATCATATTGTTTATAAATGTTTCATGGAATGAAAAAACCAGTTAGTTTTAGTTGACCATGCTCTACTGAACGCTTCTTGAAATATTTTTTGGAAAGAAGCAATTGCGCGACTCCGATCCAAACCAAAACACAGTGTTCCTTTTAGGAAGTTGATATCCTCCGCCTACAATGACTATGCTTTATCATGCAAGACTAAGAATTAAAATCAGTGGTCGATAGCTAAAATAACTTGCGTTTACTAAATCTGATGTAAAAGCCTCTGTCCGAAAAATTACCGAAATATACCTTTTGCAATTCAGGAAGTCCCATACAAAGTAGCATCGAGAACAGTGAAATAAACAATTTCGAGCGCAAATGAAGTATTATGTATGCATTTGTACAAAGTTCCTTAAACCTTCAAAGATCGTGATTATATTTGTAATTAGTGAAAAAAGAATATGAACAAAAATTCCTCACTTCTTGTATTCATGACTATCACGGAAGTTGCTCTTGCCTTTGGCTATAACGCAGAGAAAGTGATCAGTGAGAACAAATGGCACTCGGTCACGATTAATACCTAATTTCTTTTTATAATGCCCCAAAAAGTGTCCGAAATCGATATGAAACAGCTAAAAAAGGAAATATTCCACTAATATTTTAGCACATGGTGATCGCGGTAAAGCAAAAACTATAATAATTACTCTTCCATCTCTGGCCAACATAATATTATCCTGATGTCTATCTTTGATTCCCAGGACGTATGTCGCAACACAATATCCTGCACATGAAGCAGTGAAACGATCTACACCTTCCAAATAACTAAAAAGATTTATAGGATGAAGATCTAAAAGAAAAAAGTTTCTGCAGTTTATGAAGGTCATCAAAAGTGCTTCTTAATGACTTGATTTCTGTTTGATATTGACAGAAGTAAATATCGAACTGAAGAATTTTATAAAGCTTTACATTGTGTTAAAGTTGCAGAGTAACTTTTAAACATTTCTAGTATATCTAGTGTGGCATTTCTTCCTGAACAGTTCTAACAAAATGTAAGGTCTTATAAAATTTTAATAATTTTTTAACAAAATAAATCCAAAAGACACACTTACACCTTAGAATCCACTGAACAACTTCGAATGTACTTATTGATAAGGCTGCTTTCCATATTAAATGTTGAGCCAAACTGTTTCGCAGCACACTGAATTTCGAAAAGTGTACTGCAGTTTTGAATAACATGTATCATTCCAACCTAAAAACTCGTAAATATTTTTGCAGCGTCAACATCCAACACACCTGATAAAGTAATCTTGATTTGACATTCACACACTACTCAGCACGACTTACATTTCTTCCCATCGGTAGTACCTCATAAATACTTAAGCAAAGATCGTAATCATTACTTTTCCAGAGTGCATCCATAATACGCATGACTTGTAGAGTCAACATGTCCTGTCGCAAATCTGCAATATAGTCCGTTAATTAACTAATAAGCTAATGTAACATCACTATGAAAGTTGTCAACACTATCTTGCCTTAAGACTAAACTTTTATACAGAAATAAATTTAGACAAAGTCGATATTAAGCAATGTTTTCAAACATCAGCCTTAATTCGTATCGAGATAATATTTCGACTTTATTTCAAAGTATTCACCATCGCCACTTTTAAATATAATCTGATGTGTTTCACTGTACAAACGTGCAAGAGGCTCTGGGTTATTCCAAGTCAAACGCAATGGTTGTTTTGCACTTCCCATAACTTTACACATTTCAATACTGAAAATTTCAATTACACTGATTATTATCTTGTAAAAAATTACTGTTTACTACCTCATGTTAAATGAGAAATATAATTTTGAAAAGTTCATTCTGTAGCAGAATCTCACTTCAATGAGCCCAAATTATCGGAAATATTAAGTGGCGAGATCATATTTTCCATTATTCCAACATGTGAAGCCAACTCCTCTTGCAAATACTGAAAATAACAATTGCCACCGTTTTTGCGACATAAATAAAAAGGCAATGCCTTAGAATGCAGACTACTGATTACGGGGTATCTATAGTCGTATAGGGTTTAGTAGTCACAAATGTATGAGAAAATTTATCTCTTTCAGTAAGAAAATAAAAATAAAGACGCGATATTGAGTAACAGAAACATATCAATTAAAGGAAAAAACTTTTGGAATATAATAAAGTCATGAAAACCGTAACTTCGTGGCACATTCATTATCCTTAATCGTCTTTATGTATTTACTTAGATTCGTTAATCGTGCCACCATATCTACTTGTCGCAGCATTGAATTGAGATGAATATAATTTCCCCGACAATAAGCTTCAATCATCAAAGCAAAACGTTTATAATTCTTCGTTAACTCTTGACCTAGTTCGCCTTAACAAAAAATAAATGACTACCAAATATAAGAGGCTAATATGTTTCTTTATTTAAGAACATTTTGTATTAAGAAATGGCTACTAACTGAGTTGCCCAAGTTCAGCTCGTAACAACCAAAACAATATATGACCAATACGATTGTTACAAAGCGCTCTTTTCAAAAGCATTCTGCTTAAAGCACAGGACCCATAAGGTTCGAATTTCAAGACCTACATAGAAACAATTATAAACTCTTGATGGAACATCATTACAGTACAGAATGACACGGTGACCTATAGATCAAATCTAACAATCAAACTAGCATTATATACTAGTTTGAAACACCAATACTTCTGGAATACCTTTAATGGATTAAATAAGTTTTGATCACAGCAACCAATTCTTATCATTTTCAATTTTTTTTAAATTATGGCCTTCTGTAGAACTTTTTTCTGAAAAATCTTGCCTGGATAAGTGGCATAACATAAAGCTGCAATCTGTCATTATCCAAGGAAGTATCAAGCGATTCTACTGCAAATTCCCTTATTCTCGTGTCAGGACATCGAAAATCCAAAAGTATTAAAGCTGTTTCTGGCTGGATTTTTCCCCAGCGGCGAAGCAATTCATGCAAACGTGAGAACTCATCTCTGCTTGTCCAAATTAAAGGACAATGAGCAATTAATGGCAGCAAATCAGGTCTATACTTTGCCACCAATTCTCTAAAAATTAATGTTTTTAAACTTATTACATATTTCAGAAACTGTCATTTAACTTTCTCAATTCAAAAATTATAGACAGTTATCAAGAAGAGTCACTAATTAAACTCAAAAAAATGTAATAAGTTTAAAAACAAGAGAACGTAATGGATCTCCGATTCGAAAAATTACCTCACTTCCCACAAACGTTCAATTTGCTTGTCAGTTAACTGCTCAGCATCGGCCAAACGCAAAGAGTCAAGAAATTGTTGCACAGAACTTTCCGACTATAAAATAACTTTTCTAGGTCTTGAACTAACAAAACTTGAATCATTAAATACTATACAATGTACAAGAAGCCCTTACTGAAAGAAACAAAGATGACATAGATAATTTCAATCTTCGAGCATCCATTTTCTCCACATATTCATAAATTAAATCTGCCTCAGGAAACTTGACAATACCCCCATGCTTTTCAAATTCCACTTCAATACGAACAGAGTCACGATTCTCATTCGAACCTACCTAAACATGAAATATAAAGTACATTGCTTATTTCATTAGCCCTTATAGTTTGTTTTCATTAATTTAAAAGTTTCAAAATTTTCGCAATCAAAAGCAAAAATTCTAAACTTATCTTAAAAGTAAAAGATTTAGAATTAGAAAAGCAGTAGTAGAAATTTTATTTGAGATTCAAATAACTTATAATGAATTTAATAGCGTAAATCTAGTAATGCAACACTACTGGAAGTTTCGCGTAAAAATTAACATCAGGCATAATGCGCAGATTCTTTTAGTAAATCAATGAAGAATATTGAGAAATCTTGATATTTCATGACAAAAATATTTAGATATGCTCTGCTGGAGCAGTCTTTATTTCCATGTTTTTAAGCAAAAGTATTACTTGGCCCGATGGATAAAGTAATTCAGCGCAATATTTGGGAAATGGCCTCAGATAAAGCATATATTTGCCTTGTATAAGTTCTCCATTCCAATTAAAAAGACGCATATTCACCCATCCGATTCCCAAGTATTCCTTACAATAGATACAATTAATGAACAAGATTTTATTGATTTAATGTTCTCGCTTTAATATTCTGATTTGCAACTGAGGACACAGGAAGAACCTCTTTTTTTCGGTGTCTTACAGCAACTAAAGAGAGACACAACTGAACAGCAGAAGCAATATCCTTCAAGTAAACATCGAAATCAATCCAACCCTGAAAATCAAATAATTTTCACTTGTTTCAGCTGAATCTGACAATCAAGAATGCTTATTACATCGCTCCAACGTGGATTTGAAGGTGAGACATGGGCAGATTCTTTATTTGAAATAAGAGCCATTCCATGGTACAAAGCTGCTTTGACATATATCTTGTCAAAATCGGACACACTCAAATGAGATGCACTTTGTATTCGTAGTTTCAAGTTATTATTCAGCTTCCACAACGAAATTTTCTAAATTAGATTCAATTTAAACTCAAATCGAACTATCCATGCCAATTGAGCAAAAATCTTATTCATGTTTTCTGAAATATTTGCGAAGACTTATCTACCATGCAAAGGCATCTTCAATTCAAAAGCAAACTTTAAAGGCATTTTTATCACCTCGATTGGATCGACTTTCATATACTCGGACCCAACTTGGCTGAAGTAAAAAAAAGTAACATGATTGAATAAGATAGAAAAAAAAAACCTGTATGCCGCTATTAAAGTCAGAAAGCTATTACTCTTTAGAAGAAAATTAATAACAAAAGAGTTAAACATTTTCAAAGTTTTCCTTCTATCCTTCTACTGAAATTATGAAACAATGATGAGAAGAACCCTAACTTCATTTAAAAGAGGAGGTTCTGTGAAGTCCTTCATTACAATATCTTTCCTGCGTAATATGAATTTCGGTATGCGGTAATTTTCGAATGATGATCTAACATACTGCAATAAAGTGAGTCTTCATATATGCAAGTTAATTAAATTTTGGCGGCAGATTTGAAAAAAAATAAAGCTGAACACGACCAAATTGCCGAACAGCTGTATTCAACTTTATTCTGAGTTACTGCAGTGAAGTTCCGAATAATTTTTTAGATAAATTACTTTTATTTAAAAGAATCAAAAAAGAAAGTGACATCATATGCAAAGAAATCAAGTAAATTTATCTCCTAGTACTTATACAAGAATGTGAACTCGTTTCCCTTTCGAATATTGAGCTCGATATTTTACCTTTGATATACACGTAAAAAATTAGCAATAAAGTAAAAATTGATAAGAGCTAGGAATAAGATCACCTCAAAACTAGTCAATCTTATATCTTTGGTTAAGAAACAACGCCTTCCAGCAACCTGCAGTAGAAAATCGTGTGGGCATTCTTTAATCTGAAATTAAATCCTAAGAAATGGAATCCTAAACCACAATATGACTTAATCTTCGAATTACTTGAACACATCGATTGCTTCCTTTCGTTTGTTTTTTGATTAGAAAGTAACATAGGATACTTTTGAAGAAACAAACCAGCAATTTGTGTTGTTGCATAAGCTCTTTTATGGCATTTGCTATTGCATGTGAAGCATGAATATCGATAACCTTACGAATTTTGACACAAACGCAATTTGTATCGACGCTTGCCAATTCATCTTCCCTACTGCGATACCACAACTCAATGTGCAAATCTGCCACTAAAATCTCGAAATGTTTGCGTTTATACAACAATTAAAATAGAAAGAAATATATAAGCAGGATGAATGCTTTTCACTGCAATCTGCTTATCCCAAAACTGATTCTTGATATGATCATATCACTAAGAAGAATTCGGAACCGGATCATGCTCTCAATAGATCAATCTAATAAAGATACTGGAAGTATTTCAAAAAAATTGAATAAGATTTACAAACGCTGACCAACTTTTCCAATACTTCACTACATAATGAATGACAGGCACAAATCATGAACATGGAGTTAACTACAATCTATTCTGTAAAAATTTATATTTTAAAAGAATGCAATAAACATACTCTGTATTTTCGACTTAACATGGGTAGGTATATCAGCATCAAGTTCACTTGAAACTCCTTCTGGAAAAGCATAATGAGAGTAGCCTGAAACTCCACGCATAGAAAATGCGTTTTCTGACACTCTATATAAATCCATTCGATACGACATTTCTTCGGGCGATAACTTTGCTTCAATTTCCGTCAATGGATATCCGATAACAAGACCTATAAGTTTAATAAGATTTTAATTCTATAGCATCTTAACATTTTCTTATCATACGAAAATGATGCATTCAGACTTTGCATAATAATGTAAATGTAAAATAACATAAATTCGAAAATATTTCTCAAGATTTTTTACAGAAAACGACAAAATTTACTCAGCATAGCGCGAAACTTTCCAAATGAAACTAAAGGTTGCAAAAAAGTCACCTATATCATGTGCCAATTCCTTTTCTTTTCGATTCCCTATAGGCTCAATCAATCTTAGCATAGGTACGAAAAGTCTCAAGGAAAATATGGATCGTGCTTCATCGTACAACTCTTCAATTTCACCATTGGGTCCAACAGTGGAAAATATGTAGTCCGATGGTGTGAGCAAAAGATTGAAAAATGGTAATCTGAATGCACAAATTCACAAAAATTGACTCTTATATCAAATAAGCTTACTTAAGAATAAGAAAAAATGAATAAATCTACTCAAGAATACGTTTCAATCATATATAAAACGTCTTGCATTTTCAAAAGAGTGAGAGTCTTTGTTTATATATTCTTCGACTGAAATCTTCAATTTTATCAAAATTTCATGAGACTTTCACACAAGCACCAAAAACAAGAAGATTTCTTTAATTCTTCAATACAACATTTTTTCCCTTCATTCTCAAGTCAGTCCTTAGTTCATATCACTCTTCGGTATTCCAAGGTACTTAGACACTATATTCAACCTTATGATTTTGAAATGTTTAGTAACTCCATTTTTTACTTTAAGAGACTAACATAATTTGATGCTTAACAGTGCAGTAATAAAGGTGACATTTTGACATTATTTACTGGTACAAGAAATATATGAATGAATTTTATTTACAATATATCATAAATGCTAGTGCAACTATTTAGATAATGCCATTTCGCTAGTAACTAAAAGTAAACAAAGTTAAGGAATACTTTTTGGCCTTTGAAAACACTTCCTCTTTCAACATTGCTAATGAGTAATCTATGGAGCACTGTACAGTAATAACAAATCCATTAGGTAACAATACATCGATGTCTATGTTACCATCCATTTCTAATTGTCCACATTCAACTTTCAACCACACATCAGGAGTATCCTTTACATCAGCTGGTTTTTCAGCCATGTTTTTACG